TCGAGCCGGCTCGCGAGCTCGGCTCGTTTTGACATCCCTGATTCAACAATATGGATTTATTAAAACGGGTTAAATGCAAATTATTTGTCAACTTAATTCTAGGGTTAACATTTCGATTCGGTTTTTCGGAACCCTACCAAAAAATACGATATTTTTCTTGAACCGTTCTAAACTGTCAAAGGATATTATTTTTAAAAAATCAAAATTTTCGTAACCGAGTCAAACCGAACCGAATTTTAAAAAATCTCAAAAAACCGAATTTTTTTAAAGAAAATCTATATTTTTTTAATAAAAACCGGAACTGAACCGAACCCAAAACTGAATCGAATATAATATAAAAACCGATTGCTATTTATTTTTATAAAACCGAAAAAATTTAACCGATGCATCTCATACCGAATCCGAACCGATTCTCAAAACGCTTTAATCCTACCGATATTTTTTGCTATTTATTTTTATAAAACCGAAAAAATTTAACCGATGCATCTCATACCGAATCCGAACCGATTCTCAAAACGCTTTAATCCTACCGATATTTTCCCCCTTTTTTGTCACATTTGTTTTGAACTTTTATCGCATTTTCTTTTACATTTTTAGGCTTTGTTCCTTTTAATTTTATTTTTTCTGAAATTTATTGCTTATTCTTGCCAATTTTCATTTTCCAAAAATTTCACGTTTTTTTTTCCATTTTAGTATGCGTTTTTCCTTTCAATTACCTATTCCGTTACTCTTTTCTCCCACAAATTATTCATTTGTTTTTATATTAAGTTTGCATTTTATTTTTTCAGATTCATTTATCGGCCTCCTTCTTCCATTCTATAGTAATTTTGTTCAGTCTACTTTTATTTATGTTCCAATTTCTTATGACAAATTTTAAAAAATTTCATATACAATTTCCTCCTCATTGTTTTCTTTTGGAAAAATCCAGTACCCAACTTTGTAAAATATATCAAACAAATAATTTAACTTTTAATTTTATCTAATTAATATCTCAAATATTAAAATTTTCTAAATTGATATATCAAATATTGTTATAGTCCAATTTACAACTTTAATTTGTTTTTTTTTTTATATTGGAATTAACATCTAATTTATATCTCGTAGTTAAAGTCGAGGTTGAGAATTATTGTCGATTTAGTGAGTTTTGTTTTTTATGTTAGAAATTAACATATAATTTTATATATTTGTTAGAATCGATGTAATAAATTATCATCTATTTGATGAGTTAAGATATCTACGTGAAATATTTAATATTTGAGATATTAATTTAGAATATTCTGACAATTGATCTATCAATTAGATAAATTTTAAAAAATTGTTTATTTATTTGGTATATTTTATGTTAGGGACCTAGGGTACTTATATAATTTGTTTTTTTTTTTTTAGTTTTTCTAATTTTCTCTTTCTTCTCCACCTTTTAGCATAAATGACAATTTCGACAACCAATTAAACCACACATTAAAATAAAGTCCACCCCCTTCGGTCCCTCCCTCTTCTTCTGAGTTGTTCGTTTCGGACAACAAACTAAAGGCTCACATTTTAGTTTTTACACAAGATACCGACAAAACACCAACTTACCCCTAAACCCACTTTCCCGTAATCCACAAACACAAACAAGGACGAGAACCAAGAACCAGAAACCATGAAGAGGAACAACAGAAAACACAAATCTAAATCAGGGGGAGAAGATCAAGAACAAGAACGGAAGCGACTCGAGGTCGTGAAAGCAGTGGCACAAGCTTGGCTCAGTCGCTCTAACACGACGACAACCTCTTCGTGCTCGGAGTTCGGAGCTCAGAGAAGGTACGGTTTCATCAGAGACAAGCCTTCGCGTTTCAAGATAGAGGCGTTATCGATGACGACGAACGTTGATACGGACGATCACCGCTACCGTTATCCGACGGGTTCTCGTTGGGATTTCGGGCAATCTCTGTGGGATTCGTACGAGATTGTCGCAGTTTCGAAGAAGTTGGAACGAGGGCTCGCGTTAGAAAACGCGTTTTCGGGTTTCGTAGGGGACAACGATGACGGGGAATGGAGCAGATTGATAGGGCTGAAGAAGAAGAAGAAGAAGACGAAGGGGGAAGAGAGTAGAAATAGTCTTAGGAGTTTGTTCTATCGTGCTTGTTCGAGGAGGTTCAATAACGTTGATGTGAATATTCCGGAAAGTTAAAATTCAGTAAATAAAAATATTCTATCCGTTTTTACACAATACAATTAATTATATGTTGCTTAGGGATTTTCATAATTTCTAAGAAATTGTATATAATAATATCCCGATGTCACAAGAGGATTTTTTTTTTTTGTCTTTTAAAAAATTTAAATTATTTCAGAAACAGGAAGTAGACTCCCAAAATACAATCAAGCCCAATTTCTCCATTTGAAATCCAAGTTGAAGAACGTGCGGTTAAATCATATTTAAACCTGCAATTGAAGTTGGCCTTAAACTACTGCTTAATTATATTACAAAAAAACCAAGAAAAAAAAGAAAAACTATTAATGTTTTAATTTATTATTATTTTTACAAATATATAAATAAGTTGAACTAAAGATACAAACAAATATTGATAACAATGAGATTCAGTCATTAATCTCAAGGGAGACAGAGGGAGTTAGGAGAACAAAAAGGTACGGATTAATTTTATAGTTGTATATTAGTTATATATTAGTCGTAATAAGGTCGCAAATTTTTTTTTTTTTTCGGTGGTGTACCCTGAAATTGCTGCGACCCAAGTGGGTTATTAGGGTTAAAACCCCACATGAATCAGCGCTATCACATTCAACAACATGGATTTATTAAAATGGGTTAAATGCAAATTATTTGTCAAGTTAATTCTACTGTGAACATTTCGATTCAGTTTTTCGGAACCCTACCAAAAACTACGATATTTTTCTTGAACCGTTCTAAACTGTCAAATGATATTATTTTTAAAAAATCAAATTTTTCGTAACCGAGTCAAACCGAACCGAATTTTAAAAAATCTCAAGAAACCGAATTTTTTAAAAGAAAATCTATATTTTTTTAATAAAAACCGGAACTGAACCGAACCCGAAACTGAATCGAATATAATAGAAAAACCGATTGGTATTTATTTTTATAAAACCGAAAAAATTTAACCGATGCATTTCATCCCGAATCCGAACTAATTCTCAAAACGCTTTAATCCTACGGATATTTCCCCCCTTTTTTGTCACATTTGTTTTGAACTTTTATCGCATTTTCTTTTACATTTTTAGGCTTTGTTCCTTTTAATTTTATTTTTTCTGAAATTTATTGCTTATTCTTGCCAATTTTCATTTTCCAAAAATTTCACGTTTTTTTTTCCATTTTAGTATGCGTTTTTCCTTTCAATTACCTATTCCGTTACTCTTTTTTCCCACAAATTATTCATTTGTTTTTATATTAAGTTTGCATTTTATTTTTTCAGATTCATTTATCGGCCTCCTTCTTCCATTCTATAGTAATTTTGTTCACTCTACTTTTATTTATGTTCCAATTTCTTATGACAAATTTTAAAAAATTTCATATACAATTTCCTCCTCATTGTTTTCTTTTGGAAAAATCCAGTACCCAACTTTGTAAAATATATCAAACAAATAATTTAACTTTTAATTTTATCTAATTAATATCTCAAATATTAAAATTTTCTAAATTGATATATCAAATATTGTTATAGTCCAATTTACAACTTTAATTTGTTTTTTTTTTTATATTGGAATTAACATCTAATTTATATCTCGTAGTTAAAGTCGAGGTTGAGAATTATTGTCGATTTAGTGAGTTTTGTTTTTTATGTTAGAAATTAACATATAATTTTATATATTTGTTAGAATCGATGTAATAAATTATCATCTATTTGATGAGTTAAGATATCTACGTGAAATATTTAATATTTGAGATATTAATTTAGAATATTCTGACAATTGATCTATCAATTAGATAAATTTTAAAAAATTGTTTATTTATTTGGTATATTTTATGTTAGGGACCTAGGGTACTTATATAATTTGTTTTTTTTTTTTTAGTTTTTCTAATTTTCTCTTTCTTCTCCACCTTTTAGCATAAATGACAATTTCGACAACCAATTAAACCACACATTAAAATAAAGTCCACCCCCTTTGGTCCCTCCCTCTTCTTCTGAGTTGTTCGTTTCGGACAACAAACTAAAGGCTCACATTTTACACAAGATACCGACAAAACACCAACTTACCCCTAAACCCACTTTCCCGCAATCCACAAACACAAACAAGGACGAGAACCAAGAACCAGAAACCATGAAGAGGAACAACAGAAAACACAAATCTAAATCAGGGGGAGAAGATCAAGAACAAGAACGGAAGCGACTCGAGGTCGTGAAAGCAGTGGCACAAGCTTGGCTCAGTCGCTCTAACACGACGACAACCTCTTCGTGCTCGGAGTTCGGAGCTCAGAGAAGGTACGGTTTCATCAGAGACAAGCCTTCGCGTTTCAAGATAGAGGCGTTATCGATGACGACGAACGTTGATACGGACGATCACCGCTACCGTTATCCGACGGGTTCTCGTTGGGATTTCGGGCAATCTCTGTGGGATTCGTACGAGATTGTCGCAGTTTCGAAGAAGTTGGAACGAGGGCTCGCGTTAGAAAACGCGTTTTCGGGTTTCGTAGGGGACAACGATGACGGGGAATGGAGCAGATTGATAGGGCTGAAGAAGAAGAAGAAGAAGACGAAGGGGGAAGAGAGTAGAAATAGTCTTAGGAGTTTGTTCTATCGTGCTTGTTCGAGGAGGTTCAATAACGTTGATGTGAATATTCCGGAAAGTTAAAATTCAGTAAATAAAAATATTCTATCCGTTTTTACACAATACAATTAATTATATGTTGTTTAGGGATTTTCATAATTTCTAAGAAATTGTATATAATAATATCCCGATGTCACAAGTGTTGTTTTTGAGGATTTTTTTTTTGTCTTTTAAAAAATTTAAATTATTTCAGAAACAGGAAGTAGACTCCCAAAATACAATCAAGCCCAATTTCTCCATTTGAAATCCAAGTTGAAGAACGTGCGGTTAAATCATATTTAAACCTGCAATTGAAGTTGGCCTTAAACTACTGCTTAATTATATTACAAAAAAACCAAGGAAAAAAAGAAAAACTATTAATGTTTTAATTTATTATTATTTTACAAATATATAAATAAGTTGAACTAAAGATACAAACAAATATTGATAACAATGAGATTCAGTCATTAATCTCAAGGGAGACAGGGAGAGTTAGGAGAACAAAAAGGTACGGATTAATTTTATACAATAATGGATTAATTTTATGAAAAAAAGAAAGAAAATTTAACATCCTTCGAAGAACACAATAACACAAACCACATGGTTCATATACTAAAACCAAGCCTTGTCTTATTTTGTACACAGATAGCAATAGCATCGCATCAGAAACTGCAGAAAGAAAAAACTAGACAGACGACAAAGACACTGTAGATATAGAGAGAGAGAGAGAGAGAGAGAGAGAGGCTTATTTATCAAACATATCTTTTAGACAAAGGCAAGAGACTTGTGAGCGTTCCTGACAAAAGTTCAAGCCTTGTCGCCTGTCAGAAGATCCATCACCGCCCGCATGATGCTTCCGTTGTTCTTCTCCAGCAGTCTCTTGTTCGTCTCACTGTCACGAAATCCCTGCAACAACAGAAAATCCCGGTTGAATCGAAAGATTTCGTTTTGGTTTCTCAAACCGTGATATGTCACGACAGACGTACCATCTCCCGGAGTTCTTCGAGGATCGGATCCCACTCCGAGACTCCACAAAGGGCATCGACCGACTGCAACACAGCCGATCAATACTTGTTCTGCCTCAAGACCTCCTTGTTCAGATCGGTTTCCTTGAAACCCATCTCCTCGAGTTCCTTGAGCAGGCCTTGCTCCACCTCATTCTTCCCGTCGAGTTCCTCGAGCAGTGCTCGCTCAGCATCATTCGATTCCTCGTGCTTTGTAGAGGAACCTCCGAGTGATCCCTCAGCAGGGGCTGCAGGCTCTGTGAGGTCGATGATGTGATGTGCAGAAGACGAGGGATCAAGTTTACGAGGAGAAACGGGACGAGCTTCTCCAATCAGCAAGTCCTCCTTTTCAACGGCTTTGGATTCTTCAACTTTCGGTTTCAAATCAGCAACGGGTGTGACGGTTTCCAGAACAGGGCCGTCATATTGATCAGGCTCGTTACGTGGTTCAAACTCTTTCAAGCTACCTTCATCAGGAGAAGCGTTTAAGTTCAATCCATGGAACACGTTCACAACAGAGTCCTTCAAGGATGCATCAACCTGTATGTATTCACATTGAAATGATCAAGTAAAGAAATTTGACACAGGAGAAATGAATCTTCATGGAAAGAAGAAGAATTCGAGAAAAAAAAAGCTAGAGGGCGTTGCTATTTTACATGGATCAGAACCCAAACACGTTGTCCAAATTTAGCACCAGAACTGGAAGCCATTCTCCAATAAGAAGTGTACCGACCCGGCGACTCAGGTGCAACGAAATCAACTGCAACATTGAGCTCACCGTCAACCCCCACGCCCTGCTCCGGGATCTGCTACAATAGAAAAAGATCAATTAAAGAATTTGCAAAACTTCTTCAAAATCTAAAACCACATGATGAAACAAAAAAAAAAGAAAACAAATAGCAATAAAAAAACGATATTTTTCCAACCTCTAGATCAACTGAGAGTGAGTTGCTAAACATGTCTCCACCAATCCAGACTAACTGTGTGCCGCGAGGCCACACCAAAGAACCATTGTTCCTCATACGCCACAGCTTAGTGAACGGAGTGGACGGAGCCATTGCAGTCCCGTCGAATACATTCACATCGAGGACGAAACGGCTGTCTAGCTTAGGCCGACCCAACTTCAGATGTAACTCTCCCGGGTTGAGTGGCGGAACTGGCAGAGTGCGGGTAAACAAAGTGTTCAGAGCCTATACAGATCAAGAAAAGATGAGGACTTCCACGTCATTTGTAGTGTCAGAAAGTCTTAAAGACAATGTGAAGACACTGATACGTACAGGAGTAGACGGTTCTCTGGCTTTACGTAGAGGTTGAACTGAAACAGGCCTGTCCATTCTGATGTAATCCCTCTCATTACCCATCTGTGAGAAGCAGATGCTGCAGAGATCATAATCTTCTTTCCTGAAACATTGACCGAAGAAAGGGAAAAAAGACGAGATGGTCAAGAACATTATCTGCTAATAACTAATTCCTACAATTTCAAGAGCAATATATAGCCCTTACACTTTAGACTTGAATCTAGGGCCAGTGATTGGAAGAACCCCACAGCCGTCGCAGCGGATGCCCTTATGGAACATACCCAATGAGGTCCAGAAATCACTGTCGTTGCTCTTCTTGGAATGGCAAGTGCGGCGACGATGTTTGTTAAACAGATTTGGGCTGTTGTCGCTTTTCACAGGAGCACAACTAAAGGGACATTCATTGAAACTAGCACCCGGAACAGAGGGGATGAATGCATGATTGGTGGACAACTAAAGGGACATTCATTGAAACTAGCACCCGGAACAGAGGGGACGAATGCATGATTGGTGATCTTTGGAGGGACAGCAGGTGCAGATGGATTAAAGGGTTTCCTCTTGTTCTGTGTCTCCTTAGTAACATAGTTCTGCTCACTAGAGGAAGGAGCTTTCACATCACAAGGAGGCTCCGAATTCAGATCAGCCACAGCTGCCTTAGTTGGCACATCCTTGCCTGAGGAAGGACCACAAGATGCGGACGTTGATGACAACCCCCCTCCATCTCCAGACACGTTCTGAGCAATCAGTGAGGAAGGGCTACTTTCCTGA